GTTTGGGGAGATGGCAAGCAATCGCTCACATCCAGGGAGAGAAGCACAGTCCAAGAGTGTTACCTAACCTCATGGTTAGAAAATGGTATTTAAGGTACTGAAAATAAAATAACTTTTAAAAAAGGGAAAAGAATGGCTTTTTAAGATTTATGTACAAGTAAATGCCAATAATAATCATTGGTTTTGGTATAACAGTTATAACACTGAATTATTTTAAAGCATTTCACAGGTAATTACTGTCATGTGGAGACAAACTGATATCAATACCTAACTCTGCAGCTCGTGTCCTCTCCCACACTAGGCTCTGTGAGCCTATTACCTCCATTCTTGCTCAGCTACAATGGCTCCACACGTGCCCCAGAGGATCAAGTTCAAGATTCTCATTCTCACTTTTAAATCCCTCCATAGTCATGCCCCAACCAACTTCTGTAACTTTCTAAAAGCCTACCGACTTCCTACTTCCTCCTCTTTACAGGCACTGGCCTGGTTCACATCACCTGTCCAGTACCCACCATCGGCAGTTGGCTCTTCAGACTTTCTGCCCCCGCTCACTGGAACTACATTCCCGGAGTCCTTTTCTCCTCGCCCCTTCCCTTGCCTCCTTCAAGGTCCACCTCAAGAGCTTCCTCTTTGATCGCACCTTCAGTCATCTTCCCACCCACCCTGGGCCCTCAACCTTCTGAATCCAAACCTCAGCTCAGGTGCAAACCCTTGAATGCCCAGCATCTTGGGATGTCCTCCCAACATGAAAAACCCTATATAAATGCGATGTGTTATAATAGCTTTCCAACATTCAATTCGTGGGTTCACACCTTATTGAATGGTACTTGGGAAGGCTGCCAACATCCAGTATGAGTTTGTGTCTTCAGAAAAAAAAACTGTACTCATAGGAACTGTATCAACCAGCACCAAATACCTGTAGTTTTGTAACATTATTATTTTACATTATTATTTTATTATTCGCAAGCGAGAGATCTGGGTTCTCAGTTTCCTTACTCCACACGCCTCTGTTTACCTAGCAGTAAGTAGGAACCCGGTTGTTAGTTGATTGGCAGATCGCTTTTCCAGGGACAATAATCCTTAAAAAAAACCAATAATCATTTGGACACTCAATCCACGACTGTTTGTGGGACACTGCTGTGTGCAATTGGCTGCTGTGTTTCACCCACAGATATACAGTCAATTCACTTTACAGTATATTCTGTGAAGCGCTTTGAGACGTCAAGAAGTCATGAAAAGCGCTATATCAAATGCAAAGATTAATTATTTGAATAACTCTGCAAAGTCCAGGACTGAACAGTGAGGTAGATTTGTGAAAAAATGAGGAAGTGACTGCAAAGTAGGAGGGCTCCAGCCTAAACTGGATCTGTTGCTAAGGAAATTCTGATGCTTAGGACAGTTGCTGCAAGGCATAACCTGGAGGCCAGGTTTGTGAACATGTTTATAGATCCAGGATTTGGTATGTGGAAAGATAAACAGCTTCTGCTCAAGCTCCATGCTACCATGGAGTCCTGTAGCTCAGTGGGTAGAGCACTCGCTTTGCAAGCAAGAGACCTGAGTTTAATTCCAGGCAGGGCGAAACCTTGGGCAAGTTTCCTTACTCCACACGCCTAATAATAAACCCTCCAAAACCAAAAACAATAATAAATTGGTCATTTTCAATCTACGACTGTTTGTGGGACATTGCTGTGCGCAATTGGCTGCCGCATTTGCCCACAAATATACAGTCAATTCACTTTACAGTGTGTTCTGTGAAGCGCTTTGGGACGTCCTCCCAACGTGAAAAAGCACTATATCAAATGCAAGGATTATTATTATTATTATTATTACCAACTGGTAGATGCAGCAGGAAGCTTGCCAGAAAGTGCTCTTGATGGCAAGCTCTATGATTTTACCATATAGCTGTCCTTTGGCAAGAACTACAGTCCTTGCCAAAGCACTGGAGTCCTTGCCAAACTCCACTGACTCCCTGTCACAGAGAGATCGACTTCAAGATCCTCACTCTAGTGTTTAAATCCCTCAATTCCTTGGCACACTCCTATCTCTCAAACCTCCTCTCTCCCCACAGTAGTACCAGCTGCCTCCTCCGTCTCCTCCTCTCCACCATCGACGGCCGTGTCTTCAGCCACAACACCCCGAAACTTTGGAACTCCCTCCCTCAACCCCTTTGCCTTGCCCCCTCCTTCCCTATCTTCAGGTTGCACCTAAAGACCTTCCTTTTCGACCACACCTACGGTCCCTTCCCCCTCCCATGGCTCAGCCTCGAGCTCCACCATTGTTAAGCGCTCTGACATGCCACCCGGCGTGGAGGGTGCTATATAAGTGCAAGTTGTTGTTGGGCTGTTATTGTTGTTACCTAGTTAAATTCCAGCAGTACCCGAATGTATGCGTTGGTGTCCCTAAAGCTTGGCACTCACCAACCGGTGTCTACTTTCTGGAATTAGGTAAGCCAAATCCGGGACAATATAAGTTCTCACTTGGAAAAATATGGTTTAATAAAGGACAGTCAACACAGATTTGTTAAAGGCAGATCATGTCTGACAAACCTAATAGAATTTTTGTTGAAGTGACTGAGAGCATAGATGAAGGTAGTGCAGTAGACGTAGTTTATTTAGATTTTGAAAAGGCATTTGACCAAGTGCCACATAAGAGACTTATAAACAAATACAAGCCCACGGTATTAAAGGGACTGTGGCAACATGGATCCAGAAGTGGCTAGAAGACAGAAAGCAGAGAGTGATAGTAAACATTTACTTTTCTGACTGGAGGCAAGTGTGTAGTGGTGTCCCTCAGGGGTCGGTATTGTGACCACTGCTCTTTCTGATCTATATTAATAATCTGGACCTGGATATAGAGAGCACAATTTTCAAATTTGCAGATGATACTAAGCTAGGAAAAGTAGTTAATGGTGAGGAGGATAGCACCAGACTCCAAGAGGACTTAGACAGATTGGTAAAATGGGCAGAAACGTGGCAGATGAGATTTAATATGGAGAAATATGAAGTGTTGCATTTTGGTAGGAAGAATGAGAGTTGTATAAGCTAGATGGTACAATCTTAAAGGGGGCAAATGAACAGAGAGACCGGGGGTCCACATAAGCAAATCTCTGAAGGTGGCAGGGTAGGTAGATAAAGCTGTTAAAAAAAGCATACGGGATACTAGGCTTTATAAATAGGGGCAAAGAATTCAAAAGTCAGGAGGTTATGTTGAATATTTATAAAATTCTGGTTTGGCCTCAGTTGGAGTACAGTGTTCAATTCTGGGGATCGCACTTTAGGAAAGATGTTAGGGCATTTGAGAGGGTGCAAAGGAGATTTACCAGGTTGGTACCAGGAATGAAGGACCTTAGTTATGAGGAGATAAGTGAAACTAGGATTATTCTCCCGAGAGCAGAGAAGATTAAGAGGGAATTTAATAGAAGTTTTCAAGATCATGAGAGGATTTGATAGGTTGAACTGGGAAAAATTGTTTCCACTGGCATGTGGGTCAGTAACCTGAGGACACCAATTTAAGTTAGTTATTAAAAGAAACAGAGGAGAGGTTAGGTAAAATGTTTTCACCCAGTAAGTTGTTCGGATCTGGAATACATTACCTGAAAGGGTAGTGGAAGCTGATTCAATAACAACTTTTAAGAGAGAAGTAGATGGGTATTTGGAAAGGATAAGATTGCAGGGCTATGGAGAGAAAGCAGGCCAGTGGGATTGAGTTGGATTGCTCTTTTCAGAGCTGGTACAGACACGATAGGCTGAATGGCCTCTTTCTGTGCTGTATGATTCTATGATTCTAAATGCATTCCTCAGGGAGAGAGTGTGCATTCTATTCCAGAAATTTCCGTGTGTCAATAGTATGAATATGTGATACTCTTAGTCTGGTTTGCTTGACCTCACCAATGCTCTACTCGCTGGACTCCCCAGCTCTTCCCTACACGAGTTTCAGACTATCCAGAATTCTGCAGCACATGTCCTTTCCCATACGCCAATTGTCCCCATCCTTGCTCGGCTCATTCCCCTATTGTTGGAGGTCAAGATCCTTGTTCTCATCTTTACATTCCTCCACGGTCTCACCCCTACCTCTACGACCTCCTCAAACACTATTGATCTGTATGCTCCCTTCACTCAGTGGGCAATTTGCTTCATATTGACAGACGGGCTTTCAGCCTTTCTGCCCTCATTGTCTGCAACTCCATCCTGGAGTCTTCTGGACTTCCTCCCTCCCTCACCTCATTCAAGGTCCTCCTCAAGACCCACCTCTTTAACTGTGCTTTCAGTCTTCTTTCTCCTCCCCACCCCAGCTTGGCTCCCACCCTCAGCTCAGACATGACTGATAAGTGCTGTTTGGACCTCCTCTCAATGTGAAACTTACTATATCAATGTCAATTTGTATTGTATTGAATGGAATATCTTGTAATCCAGAAGCGAGAGTGCTACCAACTGAGCAGTAGGATTGAACCTGAAAGACATGCACTAACAACAAGAGCATATGTATCATACAAGCCACCTAAAGTTAGGTTTATGAAGTTTATTTCATATTCCAAATCTAGGATCCAATCACACTGATTAAAAGGCCACAAATGGAGGAATGCTTATTTGTTTCAGAGAGAAAAGACTGAAATGCCATGAACCATTCTTGCCGTGATGCTGTCATACTCAAGTGGCCCAATATTTGGTTCAATCTCTTCAGTCTATTCACCAGCTGGAGGAGAATAGCCCCCAGTTATGCTTGTTTGGACATTGAGGATTACAGGTCCATTTTTGCAATTGTACTTTACAAAAGAGCCAACCACATGCTGATCGAACTCTAGCACTTATTTTATAATGATATATCTGTAGTGGTTGTCGCTCCTGAATGACAATTTCGTTGAAAATTACTCTGTTATGCAGTAGACTACAAAGATGTACACTGAACTTTTTTTTAATGAAGCATAAAATATTATTCAGTGATAACTTTAAACAGTCATTGTGCAATATTAATTGCTTCATATCAAAAATGATTTAATTTACCTTTCCAAAGCTTCCTTTTCCAATTGCTCGAAGGATTTGAAAGTGGTCAAAGTTAACTGTAAAATAAAAAAGAATCATTACAATTCAATGATTGCAAATGCATTTGAGGATTAAAACAAATACAATGAACATTGAATGGTACCGATATGAAGTATTCCACGCTTGCATCACTCTTATTCCCCTAATCATTTTAATGGTGTTTAACTTTTCTGAATTAAGTATAAAGTAAAAGAGAAAATAACTCCAAACACACTGACAATATTGCTAAACTAAATCCATTGAAAAGGTTGTGGGAAATAGCAGCGTTGGTTTGTTTGTAAGAAAATTCTGTGAATCATTTAACTGTTGACAGTACTATATTTAACAAGACAGCACCAATGGCATTAAATATGAAATATTAAAAACATACAATATTAAAAACATGATAAATGTGCAAACATGATTCAAGACTACTGTCTAACAACATGTTCTGATACTGCATAGTACTAAAACACACATCTACACCATGACAAGAGAGCCAACATCAGAACCAAACCTAGCAAGTACATATCTTAGGATTTTTTTACATATCCTTGAATCGCTTTCATGTTCTTTTCCTGGATATCCACAATCCATTGAGGAAGAAGGAGCAGTTTAGTTTCTCTCCTCTGGTTCTGCATATAGACACACAGACCAAGTTACCATGACCGATGGTGGGAAGGCCAGACGCGGTACGTGGAGCAGGCCAGAGCCTGCTGAGCAGAGGGAGCGGGCAGGTTGATATGGCGTTAGCAGGTCACAAAGGTAGGGTGGAGCAAGGCCGTGGAGGGCTTTGAAGGTGAAGACATGGATTTTGAACTCTATCCTCTGGGGGATGGGGAGTCAATGGAGCTGGGCTAGGGTGGGAGTGATAGGGTCACAGAGCCCAGTGAGGTAAAGGACACGAGCTGCAGAGATCTCGATGATCTCCATCCTACGGAGGGAAGAGATGGTAAGGCCGACAAGCAGGGAGTTACCTTAGTGTTCACCTGCTGCTTAATATGTGTTCATCTGCCACACACTTAATAGTGTTCACCTGCTACTTTATATGAACAGGACCAGGCAAAGCAAATTATTGTGTGTAACGAGGCTGTTATAGAAGAGAAATGTTGCCACCAAATAAACTAAAAGGCTGTTAAAGGAAAGATTAGAATTGAAAAGAACATCTTCAATATTGATTGCATTTACTGTTTTACAAGATAACATTGCATATAGTCGCAGGTTTTCATGATGGTAAAATTGTGTAGGTGCAAATTGATCTTGCACAGATCATGTTGAAGATATAAAAGAAAAGAAGGAGAACAAGACTTTCAAAATGTAGGTCTCACTATGTAGCAAACATTAAGAATCATGAGGTAGAATATTAAACTTTTGTTCAACTTTATCAATTCACAATGTTTTCAGTAACACTGGGAAAAAACGTTATACAAAGAAACACTATTTGGGTCCAGCTGCTTCAAATTTGTCAGCGACTTTGACAATGTATCTCACAGAAACACTCAGGTCTGAGTTGGATTCAGTTTTGTAAAATTGCTGTCAAATACCCTGTCACTTTTTCTGGAGTTGATTATTGCATTTTCACAGAGATTAAGATTGTTTTATCTATCAGCTTTCAAACAGGGTGCTTGATTTGAGAGACAAGAGATTATGTGTAAAAACAGTACAGTATATGTGCCTGAAATACTGTATAGAAAACAAGCAGAAATTTGCAAGGAAAAGGGCTTTGATTAGCAGTTAACAAAATGTGTGGATCAATTGAAAAGACTTGGGATTTTGGGAAAGAGTGACACAAAAAAGGTGTCAGAAATTTGATTAATTGTACAAATGGTACTTTTATACACATGAATATCAAACTATTTCATCTCATTACCAATAAAACTGATCCTGAATCCTAAACACAACTGGATAAATAAAACCACTCCTTGTTGAGTTTATTATGGAAAAGATTCAACTGGCAACACTATTTCTGGTCTCCTTAACTTCAAAGTTGTTTCTCCAGGAAACTACCCAGCGTGAAGGAACCTATATAAATGCAAGTTGTTGTTGTTTCAAAATCATGTAATAGATTCAATGTGAAATACTTGTTATGCAGGGAATAATCTGCCCGGCTGTGGATTTTAAAAACTCAACCATTGCATTATAAAGGGGGCTTTATTGTATATCTATCTATCTATCTATCTATCTATCTATCTATCTATCTATTGGGTGCCGGGCTGCCTCAGAAGATTATGGTTTGAAGCCCCACATCAGGACTTGGAAGTCATATAGTCTAGAATGACACTGCAATGCAATGTTAGGGGTGAGCTCCATTGTTGGAGGTGGGGTCCTCATGGAGGAAACCCTGTGCAAAGGTTCGGTTTCGGGCTCGTATATTTATTAGCCAGAGTGGGCAATGGTGTCCTACCTCACCTGCCTCCTGCTGTATCCTGTCACTGTATTGGGTGGGAGGTAAGGCAGGAGACCACAGTGTGGCCCTCCAATAGGCCAGAGGCCTCTGTGATGCATTTGAGCAAGTGCCCAAAAGTGCCAACACCAGGCAGGATAGGGCAGGAGGCCTCTGCAATGCAAGACACCATTTTACAGGTTGAGTTATCCGATCAATTTTACACTGTAAATTCTATACTTAAAAGACTTTCGAGAATGCGACTAGTCACGTGGTAAGCAGAATGACAAGTAAATCATAGCCCCTTACTAAAAATTTGCATGGGTAGGATATTAATAGCATAGCGACTTAAGTGGTCGTGACTAGTTAAGCCAGTGCCTTGTCATCAGGAATTTACTGTTTTATTATATTTAACTATATTATACAATATTTTATCCCAAGAGGCAGTGAAACGTGGAGATTGTGGAGATGAGGTTTCACAATAGAGGAGGTAACGTGTAACTGTAGAAGGAGTGTCTTGTTGTCCAACTAGCTTTTTCTCATTCATGCTTTCTTAAGTTCTTAACACTTTTGTGGTTTTGCAGCAAATAAGAGCAAAATAAAAATCTGAATTTGCTTAAGATTAAGGGCCGGCAGACCTGAACAATCACTGCGCTCATCTCTCACAAGTACAGGCTTCAATTATCAAACAGATAATACAGCTTTGCCATCTGTGGCTGACAACCAGCAGGCCATCAAATGCAAGTGAAGGTTCTCAGCAACAGATAGCATGACATCTGCAGTATCTAAAACCAGCAAAGCACATAACAACAGAGTTGGGACTGCAGGCTTCTCTAGAGCGCTTTCAATCAGCAAAGTCCGCAATTCACTTTGCATTTAGATATCGCCTCTCATGTCGGGAGGATTTTTCAAAGCGCACCACTGGCTGGGTCACCCGAGCCTGGGGGTGGTGGACGAAAGGACTGGGGAGTGGAAAGATGAATTCATGGCTGTTTGTGGGCCACGGCTGTGTGCAAATTGGCTGCCACATTTCACCAACAAACAAAATACACAGTCAATCCACTTTACAGTATATCCAGTAAATTCTGGCTCGTTGCCCTCTTTTTCTTAATTGTCATAAGATTTCTCAGGCAATCAACTTTTAAAGAATCGTTTTATTCCTTAGCGGTGGTTGAATTAATTTCCACTGGCCGCATATACACTGCAGCAAACCCCCAAATCAACATTCCATTGCAGGTAATCTCCATCGCCTCAGATGATATGTATATTGTGTATGTTGTTTTAATCTATTCAGAATAGAAACGCACGCCAAATGAAGCGGAAAAGTACAATACTATACACTAAGATAATGTAAAATGAATTAAGTTCATTTAAGTTAAAAAATATTTGGTATACGGTAAACCTTGCAGGGCGTCCTACTTGTCAATTGCTGCCCGGATATATTAGAATTAGGTAGTTGTATGGCTTCATATCCTGCGACCCTACCTACCTAGCCACTACCTCCATTCAGCAAACACTGGCCTGCTGCATGACCCCAGTCCAATCCACCTCACCATTGGTGGCCGAGCTTTCAACCGTGCTGCCTCTGTTCTCTGGAATTCCATTCGTGAATCTCTTCACCTCACCGCCTCCCTCCCCACTTTTAAAGCTCGCCTTAATATTTATTTCTTCAATTGTATCTTTGATAATCTTTCCCCCTGAATCCCTCTTCAGCTCCTCTCCCTCCTCTCCCCCCAATCCCACCCCAGCTCGGGTGCCCAGTCAGAAGTATGAAGCATGTCTTCCTGACATGAAGAACACTATTTAAATGCAAATCGTATTGTATTGTGTGATATGAAATCAGCAGATGTGAAAGATAGCACTAGAAATGACCTGAATAACTATCCATCTGGCTGTGCTGTCGGCTGTCAATCAAACACCACTAGGGCAGTCACAACTGCAACTTCCAGATAATCTTCTGTCAATTCCAATATCTCTGCAGTCAGGCTCCTCAAGCTCCATTGTATCCTACAGAACAATAGTTTTGTTAATATAATTGTGCTTTGCTCAGTGATTATTTTTTCCATCTCATTCTTTGGTAGCTCTGCTTCGGTGAATGGACTAATCAACACCTTATTCCACAGAGAATATTTGAAACTGTACCTGCGATGAATCTTGGAAATGTCGTCTTTCTGTTGCAATTTTAATATTAGAATATTGCTTTCCTGGGATCGAAAATGTTGCTTTCACTACTTGGGTTACCTAAATGCTATATTTTCAACCCTTTCCAACATTCTTAACATTTTCAAACTAATTGCAGAAATAGAACTCATCACAACCCAATTGTTAAGAACCAATAGGCTATATCCACACTTAGGATTACAGTTATTTCACATATGCAGTACACCAGTGCTACAGCTGATTTACCAATACACTATCATTACTGTAGCTGTAATAGAATCCGCAGCTAACTGCCCAATGTAATCAGAGCTGAGGCCTTTCAAAAGAATCAGCACAATGACCAGGAAATGTGCCACCTAACACATCTCAAAATAGTTTTGCATTATTTTCGATTGGTGTTGAACTGCATTTCAGAGAGGCTGAAGTCGAGCTTCTTATTAAACTAGTATTAACTAACCAGTTGTTTTTCTTTG